CCAGACAGACAGAGAGAGACATAGAGACAGAAAGCGAGAAATCACCCCCCAGGGGGGATGGTCACACCGCAATCCCTTCTCCTCCATTCTCCTCTCAGGATCTTGGGCACGCACGCACACGCACCCGGCGTGAGTTTTAAGCCACCGGGTCCAGGACACGAACCGCGGTCGACTACATGGGAGTCCAGCGACATAGCCATTACGCTAACTGCTGGTTCCTGAAGGTCAGGTTTTTTTGAAGGGAACCAATCATGGCAATTGTTTGCTCTCTGAGAAATCTCCGCAGACTCACTGGTGCGCAGCCTCCCACACGCAGACACACGTGTCCAGCATGAGTTTAAGCCACCAGGTCGGGGACTCGAACATGAGAGTTCAGCTACATAGCCATTATGCTAACTGCTGGTCCCAAAAGTGTTATTCTTATCACTTCTGTATATAACTTGTCATTTGAATTATCTAACAAGTAACGATAAGAAATTATTTCAAGTCTTAATCCATTGCACACTCTATAGCTGCATGTAAAGCAAAATTTATAATTTTAAATATTTTTTAAAATACAGATAAATGAGTTATCTTAGTAAGTTAAGAATAAAATAAGCAAAAAGATTAAAATTAAGTAAAAAACTAATATAAATGTAGAAAGGATAACTAAAAGCTAGATTCTTTAAACAGACCAATAGGTAAATTCACTTGAAAGACTGAGAAGCAGAACAAAAGTACAAAAGACAAAGATATAAAAAAGACTAAAATACATAAGAATGTTACATACAATTCTATGGCATCAAATTTTAAAATGACAGGGATATTTTTCATCGCGTTGAGAAAGTTTAAAGGAGTAATATATCCCCTGCTAGAATGGCGTGGAGGAAGGGAAATACTCATTATTCTGGTCATTTCAAACTGTTCAATCATTTTGGAAAGGCATCTCACTGTTTCTTACTTATGTTAACCTTTTCATCTAGCAGTACCACCTTAGAAGCTCTTGTATAGGAAGAAAACATCAATGTATAGGGAGATACATATAAAGACTTTTATTGCAGCATTATTATATTAACAAGAAAAAATTTGTAATTAATCCATTAAAGGAAATGATTGAATAAATCATACTATTTTTATTTATGGAGTATTAGTCTTTGTTAAGAAGGATAAACTGTTGACTTCGGGGGATGGTTAATATTAAAAGTATTGGGTTGTAGAAAAAGTCATGACTTTTTTCTGTTTTTTTCTACATAAAATATGTCATAACTTTTTCAACAATCCAGTATTTTTAGCAAAAAATAATTTGTAGAGGAATACATCATGTGTGATCTCATCTTTGTAATTAATAATCAGACCCTCATGAATAGTTATGTTTACATGTATGGAAATGGAGGTGAGGGACTCCTGTTAACTCTTTACTATATCTGTATATTTTTTTCAACAATTACAGCAATCTTTTTTTTTTTTTTTTTTAAGAAATTTATTTATGGGAACCAGCAGTTAGTGTAATGACTATGTTGCTGGACTCCCATGTAGCTGACCGCAGTTCGCGGCCCGGACCCGATGGCTTAAAACTCACGCCAGGCGCGTGTGCGTGGGTCCCCAAGATCCCGAGAGGAGAATGGAGGAGAAGGGATTGCGGCGTGGCCATCCCCCCTGGGGGGTGATTTCCTGCTTTCTATCTCTCTGTCTCTCTCTGTCTGTCTGGCGAGCGCACACGCCCTATAGCGAAAATCTCTCCCCCCAAAAAATTTATTTATTTTTATTTTATTTATTTACTCATTTATTTTAATTTGACCAGAGAGGGATAGAGTAAGAGTGAGAATGAGAAAGAGAGAGAAAGCAAGCCTCCTGGTCCAAGACTTGAACCATGATTGGCCATGTGGGAGTCCAGCGCCCTTAACCACCACACCACCTGCCAGCCCCCAGTTACAGCAATCTTAATAATGTCTTAGTTTTTCTAGGGAGATTTAATGTATATTAAAAATTAGCCATGCTCCAGGACCAGCAGTTAGCATAATGGCTATGTCGCTGGACTCCCATGTAGTCAACCACGGTTTGTGTCCTGGACCCAGTGGCTTAAAACTCACACGTGTGCATGTGTGCTCAAGATCCTGAGAGGAGAATGGAGGAGAATGGATTGTGGTGTGGCCATCCCCCCGGGGGGTGATTTCTCACTTTCTGTCTCTCTGTCTAGTGAGTACATGCGCCCTATAGCAAAAACCTCTCCAAAAAAAAAAAAAAAGCCATGCTCTTACTACTTATAAATTAAACGTCTAGTTTTTGTATATTCTCTTGCATTTTTTGTGGGTTTTGTTTTTGTGATTTATCTTTTGTATTTTTATGCATAACTTCGGGTCTTAATTGTACTATATGTGTAGCTTTTTTTTTATTTGGCTTATTTCTAACGGTTTTCTTAGTTTTCATTTTAAATTTCTTCATAATGTCAGTTTGATGAATCAGTATTTCCAATTTACAAGATACATTCAAGGTTTGAGATTTGTTTTTACTTTTGTATCTGAAGTTATTATAAATGTATTTGGGCATGATGGTTTTATTTTAAGGCTATTGCCTATTTTCACCACGATAGAAATATAGTTGGATTAGCATTAATTTCCACATTGCTCCATACATAAATGAATGAGACTTTAAATATACTTTCAGTGTATGCTTTCCTCAGTTTCAATTGCTGTTTCATTTCTGTCCTTCTCTTTGCCTTCTCTCCAGCCCCCATTGGCACACCTTTTGCACTATTGAATAGAGATAGTGTGATATAATCAGGAACGGCATACTGTCTGTCAGTGCAGCGGCCAGACTTTCATTCCCAGGTCTGCCATTAAACCAGCTTTCTGATGTTGGACAAGTTATTACCAGTTTTTCACCCAAACAGCAGGTGATACCTAGGGTCATTGTAGCTCTAAATTCTGTGATTTTATGGTCTTTCATTGTTTTGCTATTAGAGACTTTGAAAAGGTTCTTGATTTTATTTCCTACTGTTTAAGAAAGACTGTCGCTAATCAAGCTGGAAAAAATGATCTATTTATTGTGTGTGTAAAGCTTTAGGTGAGATTCCATAGTCCTCCCTTAGAATGCCAAAGGCTTTAGTATCTTTATTACAAAGTTGCTTCATATCAGAGTTCTTTGAGTAGCCTTTTTTTTTTTAAGAAGAGCACTTTTGTGGTGGGGAGGGTGGGAAGCTGGCAGGATGGTTTTGTTTGGCAAGATCTCCCTGTTGTGATCTTCCTTTCTTAGTCTCCCACATAGCTAGAACTCCACCACACTAGACTTTTGAGGGTGGGCTGGGAATCCAACCCAGACTTCCCACGTGGCCTCAGCCCGCCAAGCAGCCGCATCCATCGTGTACCTCGTGGCTGAGCCAAGAAAAAAGTACTTGTTACATTTTTTGGATTGCATTCTATGTTTTAAAATTCCAGCGAAACCCATGCCCTCTAAGGAAAAATGCAGATGTCCGGGCACATGCAAAATTTTATACACAAATTTAGATTAAGATCCCTGACCTGATAGAGACAATGGAACTAGAACAGAAAACCACTAAATAAAAATGAAGGAAATTGGAAGTTAGTATATAACAAAAGTAGTTAAAATAAAACTTGTATACATTCCATGAATATAAGGATTTTTTCTTTAAAAAAAAACTTAAATATATCATAAATGAAGGTAAAAGACAAGATACATACTTGGAAAAGATTTCTAATACATAAAACCTGATATTATCCAGAATATATAAAGAACTTTTTATATATTAAAATAATCCAATAGAAAAATACGTAGAGTATCAGTAGATGGCAGAGGAAACTTAAGAGCCAGTATAAACATGTTCATCTTGCGGTCTGAAACTCAGAAAGGAAATAAATAGAAATCCATAGATAATCAGGAAAAGTTTTTACTTACTCATTTGCCCACACTTTCTAAGTGCCACTTATGAGCTAAATATGTGGAAAAGATCATTGAGAAGACCCCTAAACACTACTCCTAACAAAGGAAGGTTACTCTGAATGTCTCTGAGGTGTGGCGCTCTTAACTTAAGGCTCCTCTTCTCTCCAGACCAAGGAGGTATCAGTTGAAATTACTGATGGAAAACACCCTAGCTATAGAAATCCATCTTACTGAAAATACTCTCCTTCCAAACTGCCAGTTCTATTGAAGCAATGCTCAGATCAAAACTGTTTGTTGATGGAATGAGTGACTAGTTAAAGAACTTAAGGAAAAGAGAAATGAAAGTGCTATGGAGGAAAACTTAGCAAGTAGCTGTGTACTCTTTTGAACTTCGGGACATTCTTGAACATAACATACTAGAAATTTTTAGCCTTGTAGACTTCCTTCCTATGAGCTTTCTCGTTTGATCTTTTCAAAAATATGTCCAGTAGTCACTAGATGAAAACAGGGTCTTGTACATTACCAGTTTTTGGCCAGCCATGGTAGTGCAGTGGTAGTCACACAATGGTCTGTGATGCTGAGGCCACATGGACGGGCCCGAGGTCTTCTACACTCTGCACACTTGCCCATGATGCTTCCTGTCTGACCATGGGAGTGGGCTGTATCATGAAGCCCCTTTTGGGGGTGCCTGTCTCTTTTTATTTCTCTGTGTTTCTCTCTAATGGAAGAAATAAAATGTGTTAGAGTTTTTAAGTTAGAAGATTTCAAAGAATTTTGTGGGGTTTTTTTGTTTGTTTGTTGTTTGTTTGTTTGTTTGTTTTGAGAGGTTTTTGCTATAGGGCGCATGTGCCCACCTGAAAGACAGACAAAAAGTGAGAAATCATCCCTCAGAGTGGATGGCCTCATCACAATCCCTTCTCCATACTCCTCTCGGGATCTTGGGCATGCATGCACATGTGCCTGGCGTGAGTCTAAGCCACCAGATCCAGGTCTCAAACTGTGGTCGACTGCATGGGAGTCCAGCGACATAGCCACTAACGCCATTTTAAGCCCATCACGTTTCTGTGATATTCCTATTAAAAAGCAGCTATAGCCATTAAAAGGAAGAAAATAGATTTGGAGGGCACAGGATCATTTGCTTATTATAATTGTCATCTTAGGTTTAGCTATCCAAACCTAGGAACTAGATAGGAAATGCGAATGAAAAGATTTATAAACATTAACAGCAGTGTTGAATATTAGTGAGGTGCTAGAAACAGGAAGATGGACAATCTAATCTGTCACATTGTCTTCATTATCTGTTGCTACAAAGCATATTGTAAGTGACTTAAAACAAAAACCATTATTTTAATGTCTATAAGCCACTTCATTAGACTATCATTAGAAATCTGACAAATTTGAAAAATATCCCTTAGAGATGTTCTAACTTAGCAAAACTGTAACACTTAACTGTTGGGTAAACAGATTCCTGTTTTCATATAATGACTACAGGATATTTTCTTTCCTCGTGGTAGCACATGTATATGCATACAAGAAAGGAAAAAAACCCACAGCAAGGTCTCACGCTGCAATCCCCTTTCCCTAGCACTCTTGCTCTTCAGGACCTTAGACACCTGCAGATGTTCCCAAAATGTTTTCAGGCCAACCTGGGGATCTGAACCCTCATTCAGCCATGCGACTGCTAGCCACAGTGTGCCAAGGATTGTGCCACCTAGGCTGGACCATGTACACTTTATTTTAAAACAAAACAATAACAACAACAACAACAAAAAACACACAAAAGAGAACATTTATTTCGTAGTTTCTAGAGTCAAGAATCCTGATAGAGTTTAGTTGAGTCCTCTGACTCAGTATCTCTGGACTCTCTTACCAAGGTGGTCACCCTGGGCTCCAGTCAGTCCAACATTTGACTAGCGGAGAATTTATTTTGAATACATACACACATGTCCACACACAGATACACAATCATTTTATTTGTAAAAAACGTCAGAATATAATTTTTAGAGAATATACTTTTAAAAATATGTAACCATGCCACCACTATCAATTTTTTAAATATCAGGGATCAGTGTTCAAAATTCCCTGATTGTTTTATAAGTGGGAAAAACGTTACCTCTAATTCATAACCGAGAGTATTGTCAGAGCATTTCCTGCTTTCTAGAGGAATTTCGTAGGTTAACGATTGGGGGGGGGGGCAGTACCAGCAAGGTACCATCCTCTCTTCTTAATCTCTTCCACAGATACAGTTGGTCCCGCCTGGACAGATCCAGATCCAGGGTGGGCAGGCTGTGCAGGTGCAGGGACAACAGGGCCAGACACAGCAGATCATCATCCAGCAGCCCCAGACAGCTGTCACCGCTGGCCAGACTCAGGTAATCCCACCAGATCTATCAGACAAATACAGCTGATTTGAAAGGGTCTGCAACAGAACCAAATATTTTGCATATAGGAGGAATGAGAAGAAAGCCATTTTTAAGTGGATGTTTAAAAGGACCATGTGGTTCTTTTCTCTGTGGGTGTCATTGTAATCTGTTGAATTGTGCCATTCAATTTATTTCCTGCAGACGCAACAGCAAATTGCTGTTCAGGGTCAGCAAGTGGCACAGACTGCTGAAGGACAGACCATCGTTTATCAGCCAGTTAATGCAGACGGCACCATCCTCCAGCAAGGTAAGAGTCCCTGGGACTTCCTGAGGGGTCTTGTTTTAGTCTCTTGAGCACTGGACTCTGTCAGAATTTTAGTGGTAAATTCTATACAACCTATTGTTTGAACAAAATAACAAAAAAATTCCTTCTCCATCTGCTTTGCTTGTTGGTTCCTTGTTAGCATTACTTGGCCAGCACTGATACAGTTTGTAGGCTTTCCTGCGGGGATTGTTAAAAGACTGGTCCTAGGCATTATGTAAGCGTTTAATGCTCTTAGGGAAGGACTGTTTCTAAATAGAAGACTTAAAATAGAGTTTCTTTATTGGCATAGGGAGAAATAAATCAGAAATCAAATTTGTAATTGCTGCTTCTGTGGGGTTTTTTTGTTTTGTTTTTCTGGGTCCCTTTGTTAACTTATTCCAAAAGACTTACGTGCCTACTATGTGTGTTAAAAAGAATTTTGACTAAAAATACTCATTTCACTATAAAAGAAGAATTCCCTTTCCAAAGAACCTATAGTTTAGTAATGGAGGCATGCAAGCAATCAGATACAGTGCAAGATCCTTGGATCGTCCTCTCTAGGTATCACAGGGGGTCATTTCAGGATCTCACTTGAATACCCAAATCTGCATGTGCTCGAGTACCTTTGTACAAAATGACATCGTATTTACATATGCATATCCTCCATCATACTTTAGTTCATCTCTAGATTATACTTACTGCAATGTAAATAGTTATTCTGCAGTTTTGTATTATTTTTTATCATCATCCCCACCCCACCCCTGAATATTTTGACCTGTGGTTGGTTGAACTTGTGGATATATAGGGTTGACTGTGTGTTCTTAGAATAAATGACACGTGGGAACCAGCAGTTAGCGTAATGGCTATGTTGCTGGACTCCCACGTAGTCAACCGTGGTTCGTGTCCCGGACCCGGTGGCTTAGAACTCACGCCGGGCACGCACATGCGTGCGTGCCCAGGATCCCGGGAGGAGAATGGAGGAGAAGGGATTGCGGCGTGACCATCCCCTCTGGGGGGTGATTTCTCGCTTTCTGTCTCTATGTCTCTCTCTGTCTGGCGAGCGCACGCGCCCTATAGCGAAAACCTCTCCCCCCCCAAAAAAAAAAGAATAAATGACACGTAAGTAAAGAAGGCATATTTGGCTTGGGAGGAGGAGTACTCACACTGGGCTTGAAAGATTTTGGAAGTATTCGTCATATAGTCAGGTAGTATAGTCTAAAAGGGACTTCAGTTAGATTCTGTGACTAAAGGTTTGACTTGTTACTAAGATTTCACAGTTTACAGTAACGATGTGTTCTCATACAACTCAGAAGGAAGGCCTGAACCAGCTTGGGCCTTGGCAAGAGCTCAAATAGAATGATGAACAAATCCTCAGATGTTACTGTTAATGGTTACGGGATTTGGAATACCTGATTTAAGTTTTAGTCCTGCAACTGAGTCACTGTCAGTTTGGGGTAAGCAGATTTTCAGTGTATCAAATCAAGCATACTGCTCATGTGTACAGGAGAGCAGTAGATACGGTTGTACTCAGACTGACCATTGAGCAGGAGGCCTTCAGACTTTCTCAACCTCCTTTTGAAAATTGTTGTCGAAATGCCCAAGGAAGTGTCCTTTTCAAGGATAAATTTACTCAGAACTGGGACCTACCTAGACAGTTAGTAGACGTTTAAAGACTGTGATTACTTGGATTATATATAGCAAACCAGAGTGAAACAGTGCTTTTTCTCCCCTTGTATTTTTCAGTATGTTTTTCCAGGGTGAATGAGTGTGTGCCAGACAGAAGAGGGACTAACTGTGTTCCCTTCTTTGTTCTGTGTGCCTGTTTTTGTTTGTTTTATGTTTTATTTTCTTAAAGTTACAGTCCCTGTTTCAGGCATGATCACGATCCCCGCAGCCAGTTTGGCAGGAGCACAGATTGTTCAGACAGGAGCCAATACCAACACAACCAGCAGTGGCCAAGGGACCGTCACAGTGACGCTACCAGTGGCAGGCAATGTGGTCAATTCAGGAGGGATGGTCATGGTAAGAAACTTAATTCTTCAGCTCACTCTTTTCATGTGATGTGATTTTCTACGTATCTTTGTTTTTGAAAATTTCTTGAACACACAACTGATGTCTCTTGTAAAACTTGTTTATCTCTTGGGATTGAGATTTAAAATACATTACAACAAACCACAATTAATTCTGAATACCTACTATGTGCCTGAGACTATTCTGAGTGCTAGAAATGTAACAGTGGGTAACCACGTGCCAGTACATGTTAAAATAGGGGGTAAGTGTGTGGTATTTACACTGAATAAGCTAAGAATGGTAGCAGCCCAGCCGCAGCGGCACACACTGCTCACTGCTCCACAGACTGAAGCCACGTGGAGGCCCAGGTTTGATCCCTGGTCTAACCTAAAGGCTGAGCGTGTTCACATGTACCTATAATCCCAGCAACTCAGAAGGCTAAAGCTAAAGGATTTCCAGCCTGAGGCTGGCTTGAGCAACCTAGTGAGATCCTGCTGAGAAAGAGCCAGGCATGCAGATGTCTATAGTCCGGCTGGGGGGCTGAGGAAGATGGTAACACAGTGAGAGCCTGTCCTAAAAAGACTAGAGGATGAGTATTAAAGTCTACACAGAAGTAGAGAAAACAGCCAGAAGAATTTATGTAATTCAAAGTGGCTATAGTTGTGCAGGGGTTGAGGTACAGGACACTGCTCCATGTTTCTTCATATATATAATACAGTGGGTTTTTTTTTTTTTTTTTTTTTTTTAAGAAAAATTAGGATTGAATGATGTAATGCATTGACTAAATTCTTTCTGTAACTGTAGGTGTTTCGCAGCACTTGTTCCATCTGTACCTATCTACCTTTGTGCCATTTTATTTATAATTACTGATATTGACCATTAGATGGCAGCAGAAATACCTGGGAAGGGGAGCTGTGAATGGAAACGAATTTGGGCATGGTTTTATCATTTTTCAGAGTTGCTCCTGAGCATCAGCCTCTGTCTTAGAATCTGGGATGTTCATTTAAGGTGTAGACCTATAGTGTAAATGTTTTTCAGGACTTTACATTTAACCAAGTATCCTATAAGACTTAATTTGGGGGCATTTAAAAGAAAATAAATTAACAGGGGCCAAGAAACTATTTTCCATGTCCATACTTCACACCACTAAAAAGCTCTGGGTTCCTCTTCACACAGATGGTGCCCGGGGCTGGCTCTGTACCTGCTATCCAAAGGATTCCTCTTCCCGGAGCAGAGATGCTCGAAGAAGAGCCTCTCTATGTGAATGCCAAACAGTACCACCGTATTCTTAAGAGGAGACAAGCCCGGGCTAAACTAGAAGCAGAAGGGAAAATTCCAAAGGAAAGAAGGGTGTGTATATCAATGGGATGCTCTACGAAGTAAGCATCAGGTCTTCTTTTGTGTGTGTGTGTGGTTTTGTTGTTGTTCATATCACCAGAAGGCACATGCACTTGCTGGAGAGAAAGGGGAAGCAAGAAAACACCCTTCCTGTGGGATGGTCCTGTCATAATCCTTTCTCCTCCATTTCCCCTCCTTTTGGGATTTTGGGCACACATAACATGCACTCAGCATGTTTTTTCAAGCTGCCAGGTCTAGGACTCCAGCTGTGCCATTGGCCATGGGGATCCAGTTGTCTTAACCTTCACTCCATGGGCTGGCCCCAGGTTTCTGTGTTTGAAAGTACCTTTTAGATAATGTGGTACCTGGAGTTCCTCTCAGACCGTTGAATTCAGATGGCTGTTATCTTTTGTAAGAGTTTTTAGCATTTGTTATTGATGTATGAAACTTCACCTATGGGTGGAGCATCCTTAATCCAAAATGCTCCAAAATCTGAAACTTTTTGAACACCAACATGACACCATGAGTGTCATGCCTGCCCTCAGAGTGATAAATTATAGTGAAAGCGCCACAATATAAAAATAATGAATAAGGGACTAGCAGTTAGCGTAATGGCTATGTCGCTGAACTCCCATGTAGTCGACCGCGGTTCGGTTCCCAGACTCATTCTGGGTGCGTGTGCGTGCGTGCCCAAGATCCCAAGAGGAAAATGGAGGAGAAAGGATTACAACATGGCCATCCCTCTGGGGGGGTGATTTCTCACTTTTTGTCTGTCTCTCTCTGTCTTTCTGGCAAGTACACATGCCCTATAGCAAAAACCTCCCCCTCCCCAAAAAAAAGGAATAAAATTCTCTTCAACCTATGTGCATACAGTAGATATGAAAAATAATGGAATTTCATGTTTAGGCTTAGATCCCATTCCTAAGATATCTCATTAAGTAGATGTAAAATTTCAAAATTCAAAAATATCCAAAATCTGAAATACTTCTGGTCCAAAGCATTTCAGAGAAGTTTATTCAACCTGAGGAACAACAAAAATAGTGGCTTAAACAATACCTTTTTTCCTTACATAAAAGTAGTCCAGGGGTTCAGTTGTCCCTGGACCCATTCTTAGAGTGCATTCATAGTGCGAGATGGATGCTTCAGGGCCAGCCTGGGAACAAAGAAAATAAGAAAAACATCCTCTCCTTTAAGGAAACTTTCAAAAACATCTCATAGTTCATCAGCCAGAGTTTAGTTACTTGGCCACACTTAACCTATAAAGAAGGTGAAACAATACAGTCTTTTAATGGAACAGCAGTTTGCTCAACTAGAATTAGATACGGTACTAAAGGGGAGACATATATTGGGAGGTGAGATTATAAACTCCCTTAGCATTCACATTCTTACGATAGTTACATTGACTTGACTAGAAGTTGTCTTCAAAATTCAAAGTCCTAATTGCCCCTGTGACTGATAATAGCTGTCTTAAACTTTGGGGGTTGGGATTTGTGCACTAGATAACTATACTGGTTCTGGCTAATAGTTAAGTGGTATTATTTCTCTTATTTCAGAAATACCTGCATGAGTCTCGGCACCGTCATGCCATGGCACGGAAGCGTGGTGAAGGTGGACGATTTTTCTCTCCAAAGGAAAAGGATAGTCCCCACATGCAGGTAAAAAGACTTACACTTTCCATTCTTACTGCCTTGTGTTTTCTTTAGTTGAAGCCTTTTGGAGTATCCTGTAGCTTTTTTCCAGTCAAGGGACTAATCTCATCTAAACTGATGCAGCATTGACTCCCTTAGATTGTTTTCAGTTTGGTTTCAAAAGCACTGGCAGTCTTGGGATCAGCAGTTAGCGTAATGGCTATGTCGCTGGACTCCCATGTAGTAGACCGCGGTTCGAGTCCTGAGCCCAGTGACTCACTCTGGGTGCATGTGTGTGCATGCCCAAGATCCCGAGAGGAAAAGGGATTGTGGCATGGCCACCTCCCTGGAGGAGTTATTTCTTGCTTTCTGTCTGTCTCAGTCTTTCTGGCAAGTGCACGCACCCTATGGCAAAAACCTCCAAAAAAAAGGCACTGGCAGTCTTTAGTGAACTCTTTTCCCCTCCTCACGTTTCCATGTTACTACTATTAATTTTTCTTACAATTCTTACTTTATCTCTTAGTGTAATAGTAGCAGCAATGGTAGCTAACACTTATTATTTTGTGACAGGCATAATGTTAAGCACTCCTCTTTTTCCTTAGTTTTTTAGAGGTTTTTGCTGTAGGGCATGTGCACTTGCCAAAGACAGCAAGAAATCACCCCCCAGGGGGGATGGGCACGCACGTACACGTGCCCGGTAGGAGTTACAGCCACCATGTCTGGGGCTTGAACTGCGGTCAGCTACATGGGAGTCCAGCAACATAGCCATTATGCCAACTGCTGGTCCCTGTTAAGCACTTTAAGCATTTTCATGCAGAAGCACCTCTGTGGCCTATGACACCTTGGCTGGGCCAAGACTTTAATCATTATGCTGTCTTTGTCTCTAGGATCCAAACCAGGCTGATGAAGAAGCAATGACACAGATCATCCGAGTGTCCTAACCCCAGGGCTTGTGATGGAGCTGATCAAGATCATGTTCCTCACTACTGTTGCCCTCTGTTCCAGGAAATTGATCAACTCTTCCAATGGGACACTGACGGTCGCATTCTGCCCTTTTCTACAGGACAGACACCACTTAGTTTTTAATAAGTGGCTCAGTATTATAATTGCAGCGATGTCTGGCGAATTGAAATTGCAAGCCTTTGCCTCACTCTTTCAGTCAGGACCTATTTCAGACCGTTGATGACATTGACATTTCATGGATCAGGATGATGGAAAGGGACACATGCCAGTCCAGCAGTACACAGAGCACTTAACGTTTGCTGGTGAAGTTAGCCAGCCAGCTCAGCAGCGGAGAACAGCCTGCTCACCTAACTGCAGTCCGGGAGGCTGCAGCCCACTCTCTCCCATGGAATCTAGACAGCATCCCTCCCTTTGGTGGGGGATTGTAAACTGACTAACTGAATAGACACTTTGTATTCAGAGATGGCTTCCAGGCAAGGAAGCTCCATCTTTTGATATGGAAACAATAAATTCTCTGAGATACATTTATGTAATCTGTGGTAATACTAAGAATCTCTGTCTGCCCAGATGGTTAGGTTATTTTTGGACTCCATCCAAGAAAAAAACAACTCTGAGATAGAATGATATAAGACTCAAGCACTAAAAATATATATTGCTGCATCTTTTTTTTTTTTTTAGCTTTGACAAGTTGTGGTCTTTGTCCCTCTGTTGACAAGGTTGTCTAGACCATAGTACTTGTGGCTTCTTCTAAGGCAATTTAGAGCAATTTGAACCTTGAAACTGCCTTTCCTATATATAAAATGAAACTGTTTAACAGCCTTTGTATGAAGCATTGAGGACATTTGTAGTAGTTCCTAAAGAGACAACCAAATTAGAGATTTTCAATCAAAGGTTTTGTGACAGCATTTGGGGAACAGAAGGGTACACGTATGGTTCAGCCGGGGGAGGGGGGGTTGTATATATGCCCATAGAGCAGATGGTTCTACGGTGGAAGGATGCCAGGAATAGATCATTAAGATCAGGAGACTTAATTCACATTTACACTAAACCTCTTTAACAAGCACTGGATAGGAGAATTCTTGAGAGTTTGTTCTTGACAATTTCTGGAAAGTACGGTTCAGTCACGCTAGCCTGAACATAGTCCAGGTTACCTGCTGGAGCTTGAGGTGGATGTTGGCTTCACTCCTGCAGCACTTCATGCTGGCCCCAGAGCAGGGACATTCTTTTTCTCTGTGGAAGCTGGTTTCTTGGTGCCAGCTTGTTTGTTTTCCCCCTTTCTCCATAAGACCTTGTGCAGAAGGGTTTTCCCACTGCATCCACGTTGTGAGAATAAACTGCAGACTGGAAATAGAGATTCCTGCACAGTCAGGAACTAGGCCACAGTTCCCAGAATGGGTGGTGCCTCTATTTCTCTTCTAGATACTGAATCCCAAGAGAAATAACATTTCAGAAGAGTTGACAACCTTCACTGGAAACAGAAGGGAAACCCAGTAATTCTTCAAAAGAACATTTGGAGTTAACTTAAAATACCTAAAGTTCCTTCTTTGATTTCACTCAGACTGTATCAGAACAGACAGAAATTAAGCCCACTAAAGAAAATATCACAAAGGGAGATCATTGTAAGCAATACAAAGGAAACAGCAAAATGTCCCCTCAGTTTGGGGAATCTAGTGATCTATCCTGGCTTCCCATTGTCAGAGGAGTGACCTTCCATTGTCAGAGGGGTGACCTTCCATTGTCAGAGGAGCTTTTTAGAGACTTAAAGCTCTTTATATGAGCGTTATATACTAACTTTATTTAGTAAACCCTAAGTTTTTTCAGATGACAGATTACTAAAAACAATAAGGTATTTTTATCTCTTCACAACCAAGTTTCTGGGACCTGATTTCAAGTGCTTAAACCAACAACAGTTCTAAAATGTTATTTATTTGTGTGTAAGTTTGTACATAGTAATACCAATCTCATTGTGTTTTGTTTTTTTGTTTTTTTTTAAGAGAGGGTGAGTTTGAATTTTGTTTGAAATGCTTCAGTTGTGATTTTTGTTACTGCCTTTCAGATAGCTCATGATCCTTTTATTGTCATTTTAGAACATCACATTGGCCCACAAGTGAGGGCAGGGAAGTTGGTGTTTTGATTTTTTTCCTTTGCTACTAGTTCTTTTACTCATTTGTCTTTGTGGCTGTAGTGATGGCTTCAGACATGCAGAAGGAGTGAATGGATGGATGAGTTATCAGTTTAATGCATAGTTAATGTCATTTCCTGAGTGCTTTTTATTTTTGTAGGATAATTTTAAATGTGTCTATTTTTAATTGCACTGATACGTTGAACATTTCGGTGTCTATACCACTGGACCAACAGAACATTTTCTGGCTGTAGGGTGCCTGATGATAATGTCTTGATTTTACCTTAGGACTCAACTATATAAAAGGATTTCCTCCCAGCAGTAGGGGGAATACAGGTGATCGATCATTGATGTCATTTGCAACTGTTATTTTTTAAAATAAATATATAAAAAAGTGATTTGACTTTTGAGAAGTCTGCATCTCCTGGGTTCTAGGTTGTGTTTATAATGTTGAAATTGTGACCTCTGTAGACAGACACATGCACAGTGTATCCAACTTGTCCAGGCCCCTTAGCTTTATCTCTCCTTTAATCTTTTTTTCCGTTTGGGCCTTCCCACCTTGCTGAGGAGATATCTGAGGAGGACATACATTTGTTCTTACTACTGGAAATGTTCATCAAAATGTGATGAAGTAATTTAATGGGTAAAATGAGTGAGTCACCAAAATGTTCTTGATTTATTTAGAGGTGACCTAAAGAAAGGATGTATTTTTTGTTTTTATTTCTGCAGAATAACAAAAATACTTTTCTGATTGATAAAACCCACAAGCATTATTAAAACCCACAGCATGCTCATTCTGTTTTATGGTTTGTGTGCCATTTTCATGCAAGTGTGGGATGCAAGAGAGCTAGAGAAAGCCAGCCCCTGGGAAGCATTCTTTTAAGGAGAGGCAATAGATCTGTCCTGGTGGGTGAGGGGAAGAGAAAACATTGTCCAGGCAATTAAGGAAAGGCACTCAAGTATTAAGTAGCTTTAGTCTAATGGTGGGTGGTGGTTGGTGGTTAGGGTGTCTGGGGGGGAAGTCAACAAGGAAAAAGTCAGACGTGGGACAGCGGATGGCTTAATGTCCACGTCCCTGAATTCCCATATGGTCAACCGGGGTTGGAGTCCTGGACCTAGGGGCTTCCAACGCCAGGCGCCGGCGCCTGTGTTCGCGTACCCAAAGTCACGAGACAGACGGGATAGCAGCCTGGCCATCCCATGGGAGCGATTTCTCGCCACTCTAGGGAGTGGACGAGCCCTATAGCAAAAATCTTTTTAAAAAAAAAGTATAAAACCAGTGAAACTTGTCCTTTCCAAGTTCACAGATGACCTAAGTTTCTATTGTAGTGGTACAGTGAAACACTCTTCTAATCAGCCCAGGGATCTGCTATTATGGATTCGCCTACCTCTCCAAGTCTCCAGATTGAAAATGACACTGCTCCTTTGAAAGCGCCGCCCGCCCGCGTTCCCCCGGCCCCGGAAGTCCGCGCGCGCGCCGAGGGAGG